TGTCCACCCCCCCCCCCCCCCGCCCCCCCACCTTTTTTTAAAAATGTCCATAGTCTATTTACTTTGTTTATGCTGATTTTATTTTGAAAACATTAATCCTTCCCATTGTATTAAACCAATTCAATACATGAAGATGAAAGAGCATAGATCATATACCGAAATTCATAGAAGAATCAATGCTCAATATTAATTCAATTTTTTTTAATTGATATCGATTAATTATTATAACAAAACGACTTCCTAGTCCATTTTCAATTATTATGATGATAAATACATGACAAAAAAGCTATTCATCTTCTTTTTGATATCTATATACTTAGAGCATTTATAAAGATTCTTTAAATATGAAATACTCTCTATTTTAAAGAGTCAACATTTAAAATCATTCTTCAAGAAAGTCTTTGAATTAACATTTTAATTTAGAAAGTGACATTTTAGAGAGCCAAACTTGCTCTCTATAATTAAATACATTCAAAATGTTACAATTTTTAATATAGGAAAATAATAAAATAATTTAAAATAAAATTAGTTAAAATAAAAGATAGAGAAAGACAAAAAATATTTTTTAGAAGTAGTAAAAAGACAATAAATATTTTTTAGAAGTAGTAAAATTAAGTATTAAGTATAAAGAGCTTGTTAAATTTTGAAACGTCAAGTCACGTCTTAATATAACATCACTTCTATAAGAAAAATTAATTTGCTGTCGAGATGGAGTGATAGTATCTTTCACCTAAACGATTGGCTCTTTTTTAAGTAATTGAGAAGAGACTAAACCACAAAGAAAGAGTCTACCGAAATAACTATGGGCTAATAAGAACTTCGTAAAGATAGCATGGATAACTGGTCCAAAAAAAATAAAATATGAATCATATATGAACAATAGTCATAGTCGATTGTGCACCCTATGATTCCTCATATAGGATCTTTAGAAAAGACGAACACTTTAATACCTATTTCCCTTCAACCTTTAGAATGAAATGCAGGAAAATGCTAGTGAACCTTCAGTTAATGTTTTAAATCAATGTTTGTGTTGGATGTTTGAATCAAATTATATATTATTTGAAAGTAATTGTTTTTATCCTTAATTTATTTAAAAAAAGATCAAAAAACAAAAAACAGTTTTCGAGATCCATAGCTTCTTTTTAACCATTTTTTCTTATAATAGTTGCAAATTTCCTAGACACTTAAAATCAATGATTCCATAAACAAATATAAAGCATGACTGGTCGTTAAAAAGCATACACAAAGAGAGGGATTGGATTATTTCGACTTCTACTCTCTTGTGTCTAGAATAACATCCATTAGGATGCTTATTGCTATACCTTCTCTAAATAAGATGGGACCCATACATCAAATGGGTGTACAAACAACATTTTAAATAAACCAACTTAAGGAGGTTTTTGGTTTGTTGTTCTCAAGGTGTGTTTAGTTTTTAGTTTGTTAACATACTAATAACTTGTTTGATTTAGTGCTTTTGAAAATGCATTTTCAAAAACAAGGTTAACTTTATAACATAAAAGTCAAAATATTTTTGACGTTTCGAGTGTTTCTATGGAAAATGATGAAAATACTTAAGATATGGAAATTAAGGTTTAAATAAAATTTTATTCAAAAAAATTCTAAAATATAAGAAAATTCTAAGAAAATAAAATTATAAAAATTTTTAGAAAAATAAAAATAGTTCAAGCTCGTATTGGTTATTTAGATAAACATTTTAAAAATTATATTTAAATGAACACACTCTTAGTCCACCTCAGTAAATTTTTATTTTTTATTTCCTATGCTTTGCCAACTTAATTTATTACTTATTTTAATTTACTTTTGTACAGAGAAAAATATTATACGTTCACCAATTTTAAAATGTATATGCTACTTGATAATATGTTAATAATAAATTATTCCATTTTACTGAATACTCAATTTCATGGAATAAAATATCATAAAACAATTTTTACAAATTTCAAATCAAACATTTTTTTTTTATATTTTCAGTTTTGAAAAATAGGTTTTCAGAATGAAAAACCAACTCATTCTCAACAGTCTTAAAATAGACTCCTAAAAAATGAAGTCAAAACTAAAAATTGAAAAGCAAACCAACCCTAAATGTTTCATAGTCGAAGGTTGAGAAAATAATGTATATAAACTTGTTAAATTTTTATATAGACTTAAACAAGAAATAGTGGTATGGAAATTTGACCAACCAACAATATTATCACAAGGTGTTAAGATCAATGAATGTCATATGTGCGTGTAACATGAAGAATTATAAGGTTTTTTTTTTTTTTTTTTTTAATATTAACACCATACTTATAATGGGAACTCCGTGTTTTTGTCTTTATATTAACACCATACTTATAATGGGAACTAGTAAGGATGTAATTATGTCTACGAAGAAAGTCTTAGGTCTTGATCATATTATATTGGGAATTGAAATTAAAAGAAATGACATAGGTAAAATAGTCATTATTTAGGAAAATATTACATAAATATGTTCAATTTGTTGTAACCCCTTTTGATTGCAATTTTAAAAAAAATAAAAAAAAAATCAAGAGATACAATATCTCAGTTGGAATATTTTCGAATAATTGGCAGCCTAGCTAATATATTTAATGAATGCTATTGAGCTAGACATTGCTTATTCAGAAATAGGCTTAATAGATACATTAGTAATCTTGGACGTGATCATTGGGAAGCATTGATAAGAGATTAAGGTATTCTAAATATACTTTAGATTATGGATTACATTATACATAATATCTATAAGTTGATATATTGATACTAAGTCAACTAGTGTAAAATACAAAGTGAGTCATTCCTAAGGTGTTTAGTGTATTTTCTGTTGATGTATAGGTTATGCTTTGCATTTCATGACATTTGATATCTTATAATCGAGATAAGTTTATTTGATAATGGACTTTTAATCAATGTCACCTATATTATAGTAAATGTGGGTGGCATTTATGAGAATGAATGGCTAAATTCTCTAAAGCTATCTTGAAATATATTTAGACGGAAAAGAATACAAACATATGAATTAAACTATTTCCAGATATTTGTGTGTTAGTTTACTATAAAGGTGAACAGTTCAAGATCTTTTATGCCTACTGCAACACCAAGTAGATTTGACATTTATCACAAAGGTAAATTTAAGTATAAAAGACACTTAATCCTGAAGCACAACATACTTGTTTCCTTTCTAGTGCATTTCGTTACATGTTATATTGTATATTTTGATTCAAATGTGGGATATTGCTGGATTGTTGAATCAATTATGCTCCTGTTAGGTTCTGTTGACCTATGGTTGACTTCTCGTTTTGATTATCACTAACAAACTATTTTTATTTCTGATAAATTGAATTTGAGTGTTTATAACGAATATTGCAAAATCGATAAACTTGAAGACACAAAGATTGAGATTAAGAGACCTACAATTGACGATCGACACGGAAATAAAATTGGCAATTGATGGACGTAAAGATAAAAATCGAGCACTCATTTCATATTGGTTTGAAGAAAAATTCAAACGCCAAATATCGAGACGTTAGACGTAGATGCTTTGAATTTGTACATAAAGGTAAAATACTTTAATTCTTATCGTTGAATCGAAAATAGCTCAAAAAGAATTTTTATGTATGAGAAAAATTCATGTTACAGAAACGATTGTATAAAAATTATTTTCAAAAGGTGAGTATTCAACTCGATGATCAAAATTTTACAAAATCATTTACCTTGAAAAATTAAATGAAAAATTCCTTCAAAAGCCTACATTGATCAAAATTATCACGAATGAAAGCGTCCGCAGACATTTTGTCCATCTGGATATTTGGATGCCCCAACGGTGAAAAATTTGACCATTCTTAATCTGACGCGTAACGATTGCTTTTGCACTGTCCGGTTCAGGTTCGGACATCCAGACGACTTGTCTGAATCAATAGAAGTTCTAGCGATTTCACTACTATAAATACCACTTTATTTTTCATTCACCAACTACTTTTTAAAAGCATTTCAAGTAAGGCATTATTGATCCCAACAACTTTATTTTTCATTCTTCAAAAGATTAAATCATTTATTTCTTGAAAAACTTTTTGAATGAATCAAATTATTGAAAACCACTTTTCTCACAAAAGTTTTTCTACTATAACAATTGAACTATATTCATTGTTATCTATTAAAGTGTTAGCCTACTTATCTCTTTGTACTTGATTTTGACTATATTATTTATTAAGAAAGAATATTTCATTTGTAGAATTTACTCTCTTTTTAATTGTGGGTTATGTTGAGGTCCCGTAAAACTCAACATTATATAAGGATCGGTGCTCCTTGTTTGTAAGTCACCAGAAGCGTTGTAAAGGATTGAATTCTACCACACGTCAATCAATATAGTGAAAAGACATTACTCATGTCAGAGAGCTTAGTAGCACAGGAAATTGATAATTGCTTTGGATCGAACCCTCCAAATTATATCGTTTGCATCTTTTCTCCCATTTTACCACTTTTATATTGAGGTCATTACTTATTCTTATTTGGTTTTGTATTTGTGCTTATTTGTTTAAAATTTTCATTTTCTATTATATTG